AGTCAACTCTGTGTCAACCTCTGACTGGAGCTGGTCCAGGGCTGGCAGGTGGGAAATGTTCCGAAATATGAGTAGCAGTGACATTTAGAGAAAGCCTCATCTGGTATGTTTACTGAAATTTTATTAACTCATTTTGCAAAACTTGCCTGCCATTCTTGATAGGCAGGGCAGACTGTCAGCAAGACTGAAAAATCAATGTGGTTTGTGTTCCTTGCCACAATGTTTCTTTCTTCTTTCCCACTCCAGCACTTCTCCTCATAGACACTTTCTGCCCTTCTTCACCCTGAATTCCACCAATAGATAACTACGTTTTGCCTGTGCAGAAGGTTGGCAGGTGAGCCTAGGCAATTGTGCTGTGCACAGCTTTGGAAGGTCAGAATGTGTTACTGTAGTCAAAAAGATGCAACTCTTTTCTTTCTAGGGCTGTTAAGAGAAAGGTACTTACCTTTGCTCTGCAATTACTTCTGCCTGGAATACCTCCATCAACCTATATCCCACTCATCCTTCAAGACTCAGTTTTTCTCTGTGAAGCCTTCCCCAGTTCATAATTAGAATTATTCCCTTTGTCTTCTGTGCTTCCCTTTTTCTTTGCATCTTTATAATAGTGCTAACAACAGTCTGCCTTGTATTCCAATTATTTGTGTAATTCTGACTTGCTTCTTACGTTGTCAACTCTTTGAAGACAGGACCGTTTATTGTACATTTCTGTATCTCTCTCAGAGTTCCTTTGCCCTAGTAAGTACTTAATGTATCAATATTAGTAGAATTGAACTTTGGATGAAAATATTTTACAAGTTAAAAGTGAGCATCATAGATACCTGAGCAAGACTTACTTCTTGAGATAACATTTCTTTCTGAATAGTTAGGTAAGTGAAATGTAGAATCTACTAGCAACAAGCATGTTCAAAAATGAACTGCCAGCATCCATAATATGTGGGTGGAGAATCTAATCAAGCTTAAATCAAGTCACACAGTGAAGTTTCTATTTGCAGCTAATAGACTCAAACTGCTCCGACACAGCGTTTTGTTGTCTCCATTTCCCCATTTGTACTTTGACATTTAAGCCACTAGACTATCCACATAATCTATTGTTCACGCTAATGTACAGCCAAGCTGCTTCCCTTCCCCCAACACCTGCTGTTTTGTTGTTTTTTTTTTTTAAAGGAAGAGCATTGAGTTAATGGTTCAATGTTAATGTGAGTTGATTTTATTGATTTTGTGCTGGAAGCTGATTAATTATAAAGGTAGGTGTCATGCCTTTGTGCTCTCTTCTCTGACTTAAAAATCCAAGTATGGCTCATACTGAAGCTGATATCAGCAAGACTTTTGATCACTGAGGATGCTGTAAGTGATATCAAAATGATTATTATATTTACTATTTCTGTTGCCCCTTGTAATGGAAATTCTATCTCAAAAAAACTAATTTGGAAAATTACACATGTGTAATGTAAGCTAAGGTAGACTTTGTATCACATTACTTCCATGGAATTTTAAATAGCAGGTGTTAAGTGAGTGTGAGTTTCATTTGAGAATTATTTCTTATAGTCCATTATTCTTCTCCTCCTCCTTCTTTTCCTTCTTCCTCTCTTTCTTTTCTTTCTCCTTCTCCCCCATATACTCAGTTATTAGTTACAGTAATGAACAGAAGTTTTGTTGTCCATAGATTTAAAATATGATACTTAAAGAAGCTTATTTTTTCAATCCAGTAAGATGTTCTAATGCATAGCAGGCATTGATTAGGACAAATATAGACTCTCCTGTCTATGCTATAGATATGCCTTTGAAGTCAGGGCTTTAGGAAGATATGTTCTTTCAGGAAATTGAACTGTTTTGTCTTAAATTGAAGCAGGACACCTGAATGCTAGTCCCAAACTCTGCCATAGCCAGCTATGTACCCTTGGGATGTTTCGACTCTGTGTTTTGAGTTCTTCTTATCTAAGATAGAGAACATTCTATTTTCCCAATCCTGTAACAAACATGGGGGAGCTGCTGTGTCTCAATAGCCAAGACATTTAGGAAAGCTGGGTATCCACATGCATAAAGTACATTTGTCTGCATTTGGGAGCCAGTAAAATGTGGAATGGGATCACACAAAGAAATCTGATGCTGAACAGCTGAATTGCAACATGAATGTGTTTGAAGCCAGCCACACCATTGTGAGTCTGTCAGAAGCATAGGGGACTTTGCCTTTCTTAGAAGCTCCCCAAAGTGGGGTGTTATCCAAAGGCTTTTCCCAAAGCCTGGATGCCGGTAGAGAGGCTTGGGGTTGGAGGAGGGTGGGCCATTGTAACAGCAACCCCTAGAGCAATATGTAATGCATTATTATCCTACAGTAGGATATCATGGCATGTGTCTGAGATGGCTGCTTTGGAGCTTTTAGGTTTTCTTCTTAGGAAGCAATTTCCACAAATACATCCAAAATGAATGCTCTGGTGACTTTGCAGGAAGATTGCTGTTTGAATTATTTACTAAATTCTTTTTACAGCTATTAGTTTCAATTTTCTATTTCTTTTTGAGCTAATTTGATTATTTAGACTTTTCTTCAAAAATTGTCCATTACATTTGTTTTCAAACTAATTAGCATATTTATATGAAGAATAGTTTATGAATTCACAGTTATTTCTACTTTCTTTTTACTTAATTTGTGTATTTGTGTTTCCTTTTAAAGTCTCTAAATGTTAATCTCTGTGTCTGCCACCATTGATCTCATCTTTCTTATTACTACTTATCTGTCTTTGTGTATCCTTAAAAAGCCCATGAAAGTTCCTGTTTCTTACCTTCTTTGCATGCAGCTGAGGCAGAAACAGCCCTAAGTAAATTTTCAGTATGTGATAAGCTTTCTACAAGGACCTACTGGAAGATACAGAGGAAGGTATAAATTTGGTTGTTAGATTCAGAAACCTGTGAGCCAATGGGGAGAACTAAGTGAGTCCTCATGAAAATACAGGCAGGTGCTGAAACAAAGTGCTAAATCCAAGAGACCACTAACAGAGGGGTGTCCCTGGGTGAGGTTTTCCTGACTCATGACCAAAAATAAAGTCAGCTAGTCAGGATCAAAGGCAGCCTCGAATAAGAAGATGTGGCAGAGGCCTTCAGGGTCAAGGATGTGGTGGCAGGTAAATAGTTGGAAGATATTTGGTGTATCAGAGTTAAGGGCTCTGTGTCTTACTGAGCCAAGGTCCAAGATATTGGTGAGACATCTGCAGCTAGGCTCAAATCCATGTAGCGCTATTGAACTAACGGCGCTAACCAGTGACTAGGGTTATATGGACGTGGTAATCAATAGCTTTCACAGCACCTACAGAACAAAATGCTCTGTTTCAATGTATCTCACCTCATCAGACTGTGAGTTCCATGAAGTCATGGCCTGAGTCTTTTTCTCTCCAGTGACTCATCTATATGTAAGTGTTTTGTATTGCCAAGTGGTTAAAAGGACAGGCTTTGAAGTTAGATTAATCTGTGTTTATTTGGCCTCATTGATTTCCACCTGGAAAACTTACTTATGTCTCTGGGTCTCAGCTTTCCCGAGTCTAAAATAGTAATGACAGTAAATAGTGACTTCTAGGGTTTCTTGGGAGGGTAAAATGAGATGACAGACTTGGAAGTACTTACCGGAGTGCCTGTCACAGAGTAAGCATTCAATTAGTTGGTAGCTGTGATTGTCATTCTGTGATCATGGAATGAATGGGTGAAGAACAAGTGGGCTGAAGAAAGGTGTTGGCCAATTTGATGAGGTCAGGACCCAGGACTGGAAAGAGGCTTAATGATAGTGACTCTGCAGTCCTTTGAGCCGCCTTTCCTTCTCTGGGCATCTCTTGGATGATTGGGAGGCTGACACAATGGGGATAATCTTTAAGTATATCGCCTTTTGTGTAAGGCTTGCAATCACTTTGGCTGAGAAAACAGGGATTAAGTTAACCTCGAGTGGGGGTGATGTTATTAATATAAATATTTTTCTAAGGTAACATATTGCTCTCTGCACTCAGCAAGCTGTTGTTAGTTTGGGAGCACCATGCCTCTGGAAAGCCATTGCTGGCAGCTTGAATGAGAAACTTAGAACAATTAGAGGCTTTGAACACTTTCAAACTAAGGAGTAGGATAAGCATGTTTCGACTCTATGGTTCCTCCTGGGGTTTCCCTGATGCGCTGGACTAATTATCAGATGTAATTAGGAAAGCCGAGAAGTGGGGAGACTGCAGGGAGCAACATACTGTTCCAGGGACCCTCATCTCTTTGTGCGGAAAGGGGGTTGGGGAGACTATGTCTCTATTGTGGAGAAGCAGTAATGCTTAGGATGCTAGCAGGCATGAGGGTCCTGGGAACATGGATCTACCAGCAGAAACTCAGGCCTATTGGGACCCATTGCTCATGATGAAGTTTTAAGTTTTCCTCTTCTGGTTTCACTGGAAGAAATAGTATTCTTGGCCAGCTTTTAGCAAAAGTTCCATTTTTGTGTATCGAAAGAAGTTAAAAAATTGTGTCCTTCTTTTAGAACTCATTCAGATGAAGCAACACATTTACACTTCTGGGTCAGTTACAGGGTCTATCCATTTCAGGCTGCAGATTTTTCTCTCAGGCTGCAGATTTTTCTCTCAGGCTGCAGATTTTTCTCATCTGCCTTGGACCAGCTTTTGCCCTAGAGTTGGGCCAGGAGCCCCCTGTCTTTGAGACTCTGAGAAAAGGTGACATTTGTAGGGCCATCTGCTGGTTGACTTTTCTTAAGAAAAGAGTATTTCATTTGGACATGGTTTAAGTCTTACTCTTGATGCAATTGAAACTACCACACATGAAACATGGATAGACAATGGTACTCAGTGTACCATCACTCACTAGGGGTCATGATGCAGACTATGAGTGTGGTGGGTATTTTGAGAAAAAGGAACCCCTTGGGAGCTGAAGATAATGACCTGGATGTAAAGCTTTTCCCCTTGTCAATATAGTGTGAGGTTCATTGTCACAGGACCATCATATACCAATTAGTGTTTCTGCTTTCTCCATAGGTAACTTGTCTCCATGATTTCTTTGGTGATGATGATGTGTTCATTGCCTGTGGTCCTGAAAAATTTCGCTATGCTCAAGATGACTTTTCTCTGGATGAAAATGGTAAGCATAACTACTGGGTTTTATTGCTCCATTGTTTTCTCCCCTTCTATCCCTTAGGATTTCCACAGGTTTGTATGGCGTGAACACCCATGCATGATCTTTCAAGGGCTTATAATGTTTGCCTTTCTCCTATATATTTGGAAATGTGTCATGACCCATGTAAAACTGAAAGTTCAACTGGATGTCCCAGAGCCCCAGGCTCCAAACTCAATAAAACTCACTATCTGCCCCAATAATGACCAGATTCCTTGAACCATATATTGTGTCACATGGGATAACAGGCACAATCAGACTCCAGGAAGGAACATTTTCAGTCGGAACTTGGATATTATACACATCCCTTTTTTTCTATTCATCTTCCAGCTATTTAGCTCATTGATTATAGTTCCAATTTAGAGAGATTCTTCCACACCTTTTCACAACATCAGACTTGCTGCCCCATTTGTCTATCTTGTGATTCAGGATTACAGAGGTTTGTTAATCATAAGAAGGATCTAATCATCTTCCCATCTCTCTTTGTTTGAGTCCAAGCTCCAGGTATACATTAAAGGTTAATTAGCTCATGCAGCAACAAGGTTAGAACGTGATGCTGATGCAAAGACACGTTCAAAGCGTATTTCCCACGTAGGAAAAGCAAAGTGTGAAAAACCTCAAAGGAAATTTTGCTAATATAGACTTTATGAACAACTCAAGTGACAAGAACCCTGAAAGAGGTGGCATTTCTGCTGTGTTCTCTTCAGGAAGAGGCAATGACTATAGAATAGCTAAACAAACCCCAAGTTCTGCCCAATTTCCTATACTTTCTATATCTTCAGCTCTGGACAGTGATCACTAAAGGTCACCAACCAAAATAAGAAGTGAAACAAACAAAAGGGGCTTTCTGCTTAACTCAGTTTTCTAAAATATTCAATTTACCAGAAAAGCTCCTCTAATCTGTCTGTTTCATTTACATTTCAGTGCACCTTTAAGTAGGAGGCAACAAGAAAGTGTTTAAAGGAAAGACTATATCTCTACCCTGCTGTTGGATTTCCCTTTGTGCATCACGGTACAAAGTTGGAGAAACGGTAGTGGAAAGAGCACTAAACTGGAACTCAGGAGGCTTGACTTTTAGTCCTTGATCTAATTTCTTGTTTTGTGGTCCTAGGCAGGGAGGTTAAGTTTTTTTGTACTCTCATCAGCAAAATGAGTATAATAATAATCCTTCTAATAAATTAGCACTATTAGTACCCAAAATGACCATAGTAGGGGATGTCAAGTGACCTGCATAGAAAGGGTGTTCCAAATGTGTCAGACTGAGGCTAGGACAAATGAAGGAATGTTTGGCAGACTCTCCCACACACCAGCAAGCTTTCTTAAGTTTTGAGTGGCAGAGTCACTGCTGGCCCATATATTCATTAAACCAGAATTAGGGATTTTAGTAACATACATGGGAAATTTTTAAAAATTCTATAAATGCAAGATGGTGGGGTGATAGTGCTTATTTATATAAAGTTATATGATACCCATCATGTGACTATTACATGGAGCATGTAATAGACAATAAGCGGTAGCTCCCTACCTATCCTTCAAATTACTCATGAATGTTTCATCTGTGTAGCTATAGCCTCTGAGCTGTTAATCTCTACTTCAGGGAAACTGATTAAACATTATATCAGTAGGTGCTATTCTGAGACATAGCTAGCTTATCCATAAATGATTGAGTTGACTATTTGACCTGCTTACTTGATGTGCTTTTGGACTCTTGCCCTTGTTTCCATAATTCAGAGTCTTAAACACCTAGCTTAGCCAAGGTGGCTTTTTCACATTTCCTTAATGCCTCCCTCCCCAGAATCATGGTTCCTACGAATAATAAGGACCACCCTGTAATCCGAACCCATTTAGGTCCTTTGGCCTGTGGTAGTTACTCTGGTTTCCAGAGGCTGATAATGTGCTGAGCCTGTTTTACCCTCTACTAAGCTGTTTGTGTCCCTTTGTCCCAGAATGCCGAGTCATGAAGGGAAACCCATCAGCTACAGCTGGCCCAAAGGCATCCCCAACACCTCAGAAGAGTTCAGCCAAGAGCCCTGGTCCTATGCGCCGAAGCAAGTCTCCAGCTGACTCAGGTAACGACCAAGACGGTGAGTGCTCTCTTCTTAACTGTGCACGCTGACTTCATTTATGGAAGACAAAACCCTCTGCATGCAGAGGAATTAGTTCCTCATGAACACCACTGTGTCTCCATGAAACTCCATTCTATCAATTCAGAGACTAAAACAGTCAAACTTGTCTGGAATCATGGAGGCACAGCTACAACCATTACTCCACTCAAATGGATGCAAACCAGAAACCTGGCCCATTGTCCATGCTTGCTGTAATGCTTAGTGCATGGTTGTCATCATTTTCATCATCTTCAACATCATGTGGCAAAAACATATTCAATGGAATAATCAAGTTAACCATAAACCTGAAATTGAAAATCAGAATGAAGAACAACATTGTAAAAAACAACAGCCCAAAGTGTCAACATAGTTGACTCACTTGAGCTTCAAATTTGACTCTGAAGTAATTAGAAGCCAAAACAAAAAGGGAAACAAGTATGCCATATATATGGTATATATATAGGGAGACAAGATAAATTGTATAAACCTCACAATGGGAAAAGAAAGCATGGATGGGTTCTAAAGAAAAACAAAGTGATTTACCATAGAAGATTTTATTTAATGGATAGTGAGTTATCTAAAACATGTGGTCTATTGATCACTGCCAACCCATGAACTATTTGTTACCAGTCAGTCTGTGGCAAGATTAGGAGTTTGTGCCAAATGTAAATAAACTTTGCCATTAAGCAAACCATTTAGTTCAGCTGACTTTTTTCAGAGCCTGATTTGATTGATGAAGGCAGTAGTATGTTGATTTGCATTCTGATGTGAACTCTATCTTGTATTGGACCCACAGTTTGAGTGGCACTGATCTAAGAGGCAACGTCTTCCATTCTTTTATAACAAATATCAAAAATAAAAGACCTCAGAAATCCAAGTTCAGAAGCTTAGATTTATGCACAATTTGAGGTTCTTCATACTAAGGAAATTATATGCTCTAGAAGACATACATTTGTCATTCCAAGGCGCAGAGTTTATCATGAGAATTCTTGCAGGCAGTCTGAGAGCCTTGAGGAAACCAAAGAGCCCTTCAGTTTGGGACATCATGAGCAGCCTGATGGCCTTGAAATGCTTGTGCCAAGATGAATAGGCTGTATTGCCTGCCTCACACTGCCAGGAGCATGCATATTACCAGCCATCTCTTTATTCTTGGGTTGAGGAAATTAAAGTATGAAAAGGCAGCTCAGGCTTTTAATACTTCCATGTCTTTTCACTCCCTGTTCCCCCACACCTGGAATGCCATCCCTAGAACCCATCAGTCTTTTCTGCATGAAAACTCCTATTCATCCTTCAAGACCTCACATAGAGATAGTGGTTTCAGCCTCTGCAATACTATAGCATGCCATTCATATCTGTGGGGTAATATTTACCACACTGTGTTGTAAAGTATGTGTTTATGTGTCTACTTCCCCATTTAAATACTGAGCCCCTCAAGGGCAATGTGGTAGGTTCATTTTCATATCCTCAGTGCAGAGCACAGTGCCTGGACCCTACTTGATGCTCCAATAATATTTGCAAATAAATATATATACAAAAGTACCTATTTTACTTAACATGGTGCTAGAGATCCATCAAGCATTTAGATAATGTTTGCTGAAGAAATAAAAATGCATGTGCCTTGATGCTATCTTGATCAAGTGCACATTAATCTATATCTAAGCAAATTTGTATTGCTGAAACTACAAAGACCTAGGTTTTAACACTTGGGCTGAGAATAAAATTGGACAGTTTTTAAGCAGAGACTTGCAAAAATACACTTTAAAACACTTGGTCAAGAGTAATAAAGTCTGGCAATGATTGCTTAGCTAGTCATTTCTCAGAAACAGCACTAACTATTTCTGGGATTTCTAGCCTGTATTACTTGTATCTTGCTGTGAAACAAAGTAATCACCCCAAAACTTAGTGGCTTAAGAAAGCATTATTTTTAATCTCATAGTTTTGGTGGGCAAGAAATTCTAGAGTGGTTTATTTAGGTGGTTCTGGCTCAGAGTCTCTCATGTGGATGCTGTAAAAATATTGGTAGGAGCTGCAGTCATCTGAAGGCTCAAGTGGGCTGTAGGATTCACTTACAATATGACTGTTGGCAAGATCTCCCACGTTAGTTTGTGATCCAAGAGAATGAATAAAAAACAAGATTTAGTCCCTTTTGTGATCTAGTCTCCATAGCCAACACTGTAACTTCTTTATTATGTTCATTGGAAGCAGTCGCTAAGTCCAACCTATATTCAAAGAGAGAGGAACTAGACTATTTATTAAAGGAAGGAATATTGAAGAATTTGTACATCTGTTTTTCAATCACCATATAACCCATCAGATAGAAATTTTTTAGGTGGTATCAGCTTGAAGTAAATAGATTCTCTTTGCAGACTGCATCTAATTGGTTACCCAGCACACATGAACACAACTACCTATAACTACACAAAGTTTAAATGTATGTCAAATTACTGATCTCCAGAATGCCACCTATAAAATTTTCCTTCTACAAAATATGCACTTCACTGAGTCTAAGATATCACAAGTATAACAGGAATACATTAGAATTCAATGAATATTTGTCAAATTGAAGGGAATTATAATATAATAGAACCCAACCCAGGCTTTGGCAGGCAAGATCTACTCTTGCTTTTTCATAACTCCTTCACTTAAAAAAAAAATGAGCATTTATTCCAAACCACATAATAAACAAAGTAACCAATTTAGGTGTATGAGGGGAATTTGCTTGGCATATCAAAATTACAAATAACCCGTTTCCTAACACCAATCTAATGTGGTGTTCTCAGTTTAAAGAATTGGAAAATTCATTTATGCTCATAATGTTCATGAACATAACTGAAGTCAAACCCTAGTCTAGACAATCTTTGTGGCAATTGTCAGAATGTTTGGGCCAATCTCAGATAATGTGTCTAGAGCCTCCTCATGATTCCAATCCTGAAGGGTTGTAACATAACCAAGCCCATTTCATGGCAGTTTGTTTAGAGCCTAGTCCAAGGCATTCATTCAGTTAATATTCCATAAGAGCAAAGCTGATATCAGGCAAAACAGCACCTTAGCTAACGTTCGGATTTGCTATGCCCATTTTCCCCTCTCTGCTTCCACCTCACTCAGGACCATTGCAACCTGGGAGTTGGAGACTCCTAGCTTTGGGATTTGTGCAAGATTTTTGCCTTCTCTGAGATTTGATATCATTGTTAGAGAATACAGAATTTGAATCTCTATAGATAAGGATAATTTTCCATTGTTATCAGTTATTTACAATTTACAGAGTTGTAAAATAGCTCAGACAGAAACAAAAGCAGGTAACTAGAATGATAAGCTATGGACAATGCACACTTCTCAGTTGGCATAAATTTCTCCTTACAGATATTTGAGATTTAAAAAGAAACAATTGTTTCATAAAATGTCAAACATTTTTTTAGCTGTTAGCCAGGGACATATACAGGTTAAAATACACTTAACCAAATGGTAATAGTGTTAGGTGGGGCAAAAATGCTCTGTTCATTTCTAGGACATGGTAGTATCACCCTGTTTCCATCCTGTGTTAGTCAGTCTTGCATCTGGAACTTGTGAATGTATTTATCAACCTCCGTTCAACCTGAGTAACAAAAGGTTATGGAAGATAGATAATTTCCAGGAAATTTTAACTACCTTCCTTTGAAGACAAAAGAAAAACTGTATACACACACACACACACACACACATACACACACGGTCCAATTCATGGCTCAGTTAATAGCTAGGTTCATTCTGACTTGAGGTTTAGTAAATTGATGCTATTTGGTCTGTAATTTGTGCTATAATTTGATTCTTTATTCCTTAGTCTTTAGACTTTAAGTTGTCCGTTTCTTGTTCTGCCCCATGAATAAATCAAATCCTTCTCCTTTATTCCCTTCAAGTTCAATCTTCACTTCTGCCAATATTGAGTTTGCCCCAAATGGAATGTCTGTTGCTAAGCCCTAAACTCAAGTTAAGTAAGGATTTGGTTGTCCATATAATATTGCTGCAAGGAGCTCATTTTCACTAGGCAGACCTGATGGACTCTAAGAATCCAAGTCATATTAGCGATGTCTGTCTTTAAATCAGGCCATGGAACTGTGCTAAAAAGATAAAATCTGAGCCCAGGAGGCTCCTATGGGATATTTGAAAAAAGCTTGTGCAGTGCCACGCTTTCATTAACCTGGGACTTGCCATTTTGATGAGCAAAGGTAAGCCTGGCTTCAGAAGTAAAGACAGACATGTCTCTCTCTCTTTCCATTTCAGCCATTAACGTGTTAATTTTCCTTTTAGGTAACTTTGCCCCCAGTTGAATTGAATTGAATTAAAAGGACAAAATAGCTAGTTGCTAGGAAGGAATCTTTTCTTTTTCTTTCTTTTTTTAAAGGAGCTCTAAGGAAGCTAATTACCCACGCTGGTAGGCTGAGAGAATTGTAATGTGGTAATTAGTTTGCTATTCTTCAACAATAAGTCATTGTTGTAGCAATCCAATGTTCTCCATTCCCCTTCCCCCAACTCATGTGCACCTATTTCTGAAAGTCCAATCTTTCCCGTTCCCAAACTCATAAGAAAGAAAGCCTTCTCTAATGAAATATACAGCCTTTAGAAGGGGAGGTCAAGGGGCACAAAACAGCAGGGTTCATGGGAGACCTGTATCCCGGGGTCCTTCTTTCCAAACCTAGTAGGCTGCTTTGGGTTGCCTAAGATAGAGGGACTTGGCCATCCTGGCCTTCCTGAAAGTGACTGTCCAGACCAGCTCTGTCCAAAGGAAATATAATGTGAGTCATAAATGTAAATCATGTATGTAATTTTACATTTTCTAGTAGCCACATCTTAAAAAGTTAAAAAACGGGCAAAATTAATTTAGACATATTTCATGTAATGATGCATTTAAAATATTATCAGTTTAACATATAATTAATGTAAGAAATTATACATTCTTTGAAACTGAGTTGAATTTTACACTTAACAGC